TACATGCGCGCGAACTTGATGTATAATTTGCAAAATTTTGTGTTACTCACTCATTTATTGGAGGGCACTGTACATGTTGTTATGGGAACTCGTCACTATATGGGTTTCTGATTACCAAGAAAAAAAAGCCTTCCGATAAACTACAAGATACAACCCCAACTAGAAATAATTACTAGTGACTGCTTTCACCATTAAATTTATGCAACCAAGGTTTATGCGTTATGCCCACTTTCCATTATAACGAGCGTTCGCTGTAGGATGTGTACTACAGTCAAAGCTGGTTTAACGGATTCTACGGGACCAGAGAAAATATTCTTTATAACCAGAAATTCTTTATAACGAAGGTCACTTCTGTAGCTAAGATTTTTGCTACTAATAATTGGCTTGGAGTTATAAACACATCTTCGTTATAACCAAAGTTCGTTATAGCCAAATTTGACTGTATGTCCTTATATTCGACATTAAAACTTTTGGTGAATTCAACCTTTGAAAAGCGTAGCGCTGCCAGCTCGCTGTAACTTCGTGTGTTTCACAGAAGCTAACGTATGTGCCAACCAAGATTGAAATTGAGTTCACCAATATCATCATGTTTAATTACTGTTCGTCTTTCTATCTAGATTCCACAAATCTCGCTGTTATTATCAATGCTCGATTATAGTCGATTGATGTCGTGAAAGACAAGTGATGTAAACACGTTTATTATTATTATTTTATTATTATTAATTGGCTGTTTTCTATGACAATGTGTAGCCATTAATTATTATATGTACTGAACATTTTGCAAGAAACAAAAATTGATTATAAAATTATGACTCTGCTCTACGAGCAATTAAAATAGTGACTATTAGTTAATTGCAAGAATGTATGAACCTCTATCTTTACAGATTTAAGCAAGTGACCATGAAAAAGCATTTTCGAGAAATTGTAGCCGTTAAAGAGATGTTGCATACATTTCAGCTTGCCTCTTTCAAAGAGAAAGTAAGAGAACAAGAGCACCCAAGACCGTTATTAAAAAATGAAAAGCAGGTACAACCGTGTTGGCAGCGCTTTTGGGTCTGGTAGCTTGACTAGGAGTATTGGTTTGAGTATTGGTAGTTTGAGTATTTGAGGTTGATGTACTTGTTGATGTAGCAGTAGGTTTGTTGGTAGGCTTCGTCGTAGTAGTACTATTACTACTACCACTATTTGTAATTGTGAATCGAGCAGAATAGTTCGGTTCCTTAACACCGATCCGGACGGTGTAGTCACTGCCACTGTCAATAGTATTAGGTACGGTGAAATTATAGATCAATTTTCTGACGTCAACCGAATCGGCTATAGTGAAAACTTGTTTCAGCTTATTCTCGGGACCATTCAGAAGTACCAGTGGAGTCGTGTTTTCTGTAATTGCGCCATCGTTAACCCACGTTATTGTTGCCTAAAGTCCATAGATTAGTAAAGTGTTGTATCCAATAAGATCGAAGAAATAAAATAAACTAATTACAATTTTTCCTGTCACCCATGTCGTGGATACTGTTGGATATGTGATTGTTGACTTGGCCTGGACGCTTGTCAATAATAATAAGGTCGTGACAAACAATATTATGGTTGAGAACTTCATGTCTTGTTTATTTGAGCAAGGAAAGCTTTAAGTAATTCGATAGTTTGTTTTTTATTAAATGTGATGCCAAATTTATTTGATTAATTATAGTATTTCCAGATTTCTCACCATTACAATGCATTGTATTTATAACAACTGTCTTGTGGGGGCGTGTTCTTTTACGACAAATTAAACTGGCAGAGCAGACGTGTTTTGCTATTTGCATGTGACATGGAAAAACGGATTATCATATCAATGGTAGCTAGATATAGAAATTCTCAGTCATTTTTTCTTACACCGGATCGGCTAAATGAAGCAGATGTTTTACTAGTAACTAACTCTATATAGTAACTGCTTCCCATCTGGTGCAGATTCGAATCGCCATATGTTTTTTCATGTCACAGAAAGGACATGTCGGTATATACTAACGAGCAGTTCGTATAACATTGACAATGATTTAATAAGGAATAACAGATAAGTGATGTTACGCTGCAAATACACAAGACGGATTTTATTGTCGATCGACAGTCTCGTGTTTTCAAATACAGAACAATACGAGACATATGTTAGTATTGCTGCATTCAGATACCTCTTTAACGCAACATTGGCAGAATGTACTTACCCTTCCCCTCTTGCAATACAGTTTCAAGTTTTGCGGAACTAATTAGTTACATATATGCCGGAAAAGGACACTTTATACAGTAGTCATACACTCTTCAGCCCAGGAAGTGACTGTCGAATACAACCGTATAAAGAACTTGTGTGTGTATGTGTGTTTATCTACATGACATACAGGGCCGAAAATCGAAGTTTTTCTGTTTCCCAAACTTACCGCAAGTTTCACGAGGATGTGTATTGATTGGTTCGTTTTTTTGAACCCCGTAATATTCGACTACTTACAGTCAGGAGTTTTACCCGATTTGGGAGACCAGTTCTAGAAAATTCAGAGCAAATACCGCAATCTGATTGGTTCAATCAGAAAATTTTTATGACGCCGCTTTCATTGATCCAATTATTAATATTGCAGAAAGAATCAAGCTAACAGTTGAAATACACTTTTACGAGTATACACTTTCAAAATCCACGGTGATCCACGCAACCTTGCAAAGCCGTTCCTCCTCATTATCGAGTTTAATTTTACTAATACTGTACACTTTGTTACACACGTTTTGGAAACTTGAGATCTACACTCACTGGACAAAAGTCTACGTAATTTTTGTCGATCACATAGTAAAACATATGAAAAATCTATTTTTTCG